AACGTTGACATTTCTTTGCAAAGGAAGACAGGCAAGGGTTCAGTGACGAAAGCAGTTCTCGTGAAATACCAATCTGGTATGGTCCCCTTTGAGCAAGTTTCTGCCACTTTCCTTATTGAAATGACGCGACGACCGTGTTTGTACGTGCACTTAGGCATTTGTATTTATGTTAGTGTGAGTGAATTTCCCGAGTGCTTTTCAAGGAGTAACTTGCTTTTGATGGCATAAAGTCAATTCAGTGGAGCTTTAGAAAGAATACTTTGTAAAAATGCATCCACTTGGACTATACAGCAAGGAATCAAAACCTGGGAGTACTTCCTGCTCAAGAGTGGGCAAATTTGCTAAACGAGTAATTAAGGAAAGTGGAGCCCCATGCAATTCTATCTAAATTCTTGTGGGTGTTTGCACGTTTCCTCCCCTGGAGTTTACAACGCTCATTGAATTTTCAAAGGGATCTATGACTCTACAAAAAAGGTTAAGAACCACTCTTCCGTACTGTGGGGTAATCAGAACAATGAAGGATAAAATACTTGCAACTACTATCTAGTTAATATGACCTCGAGCAAATTAATCAAGTCCGCGGTAGTAGAACTGGAAAGAAGAGGGAGGGGAAAGAAAGTCCGTCTTCTTAAGGTTGTGAAAATTAAAAAAAAAAAAAAAAAAAAAGTTTGTTAAGTGCTCAGCACACTGCTTGGCGCAGAGAAATCGCAGCCATTTTTACAACAAAAGCCAAGCTAGAAAGGGCATGAGTGTGGCCATTCTTCCTCTCTGAACCCTCTTCCTTCAGCAATTTAATTAACATTAATCTGTTGAACATCCACTTTGACCTAGGGAGAAGGGTTTATTCTGTACTTGAAGTTACAGAAATTTCCAACATAAGAAGAAGCAGATGGTCTCCATTTATAAAGGAGAGGGAAGGAAAAAAAATTTTTGTTAACTATCTTTTATTTTTCCTTGGCCTTCACTATCTCACTGCCCACCGCCAACCCTTCTTTGCCCAGTTTTCCCCATCTCAGGAAACGGCACTGCTGCCCCTTGCCCAAGAACCCAAACCTGGAAGATAATCTAAATGTCTCCTCTCACTCTCAACCTACAGACCAACAAGTTCGGCTCGCTGGGCGCTGAACAAGACTAACTCCTTTCCAGCCGCACTCTAGTCCAAGCCAAAATCTTAGATCTCCTGAACTACTTACTGCCTTTCAATTTCCACTCTTGCCAAGAGTGATCTTTATAAAATCTTTAAGTCCCTCAAAACCATTCTGCTTAAACCCGACACTCCACGCTGCTTGTCACTACCTGGAATTAATGTGGTTATGTTTACAGTCTCACTCCCGGTTTTTATGTAAACTCTGTGGGAGTAAGGACTTTGCTTCTCCGTCCTACATCTCTACATCCCCAGAGCCTAGAGCAGCGTATGGCCCATAAAGGAGATCAGAGGAGCAAGTACCTGGAAAGCACTACAGGACTAGAATTGGCCGACCACAGAAATTCTAAATCTGAATTTACAATCGCAGACTTTCAGAGCTGAAATAAACCTAAGTTTTCCCAGATGCATTTAACCTTTTATAGAACAAAGGGGGCTGACTGCCCACAGCCAATCAGCTACTCATTGAGGCTGCGACCTCAGTAGTCTGGGGCTTCAAGGTCCCCAACCTCCCTTGCTCCAAACCCCGCCGCCTCTTTAACCCCCGTAACTCAGCATCACCGAAAACCCGGAGAAGTGGAGTCTTCCTAGATATATGGTCTCCGGACTCCAGTCGCAAACCTGTCTGACCAGAGCGCGGAAGGCGCATGCGCAAGACCGGCATGAGGTTCCTCCCCTCCTACCTCGGCGACCTCCTCCCTGCTTCCGCCTCCAGAGTTCAGACACGTCATCCCTCGCGGCCCGGCCCTGTGGGAGGGTAGGGGGCGGGGCTCGGCCGCGGGGAGGAGCGGACCCCTTATTTCCGGCTCCGGCCTCTCCCGGAAACGCCTTTACCCGGGGTTCCCTTGGTTACCTGCCTCGGGTGTCAGCGCGGTGCTCGGGGCGTGGCTTAGGGCGATCGCCCCACCCTCTCGTCCGGGCTGCAGAATGGAGTACCTGCTTTCCGGGTAACTCTTCCTTGGACTCTGTCGTGCAGAAATTCTGGGGATTCCAGTTCCAAACTAGAAGGAAATTATTAAGTTTTCCTTTCATCATCCTTGTGTGACGCTTCCTTTCTCGAAGTACTAGTACTTCAGACTCAGCTGTAAAACTTGAAGGATATGATTTTCTCCTTTCCTCTGAGACAGATAGGATTTGATTACTCCCGTTTTAGGCTCTTAAAAATCTGACATTTGGTTTTTCCACTCCTCTCTGCCAAAATAATTTAGATAGCCTGTTCTGCGTTTCCTACGGCTTCTATGCATATTTACTCGCAAATAAAAGTACAGGATGCCTAGTTAAATTTTCACTTCAGATTAACAGTGAACAGTTTTTTTAGTGCATGTACATCCCAGATATTACGTGGGACATGCATCATTTTATCTGGCGATCCCATGTCCGTCAAGTTGCAGGAAAGACAGCTGTAGTCTGCTGATCGTATGCCTGTAAAAGAATGGGCTTCCAGGATTTTCCAGAAGATAAAAAATAACCTCGTTGTTCTTTAGTGTCTCATGTAAAACTGTGGTAGTCCAAGAGACAAAAAGGAAACCATCCATGGTCCCCTTCCCCGGTCTAAATACAGCAACTAGGAAATAGAACTGGCCCTAAATCATAGGCTCTAAAGGCAGTTCGTGGTAGTTCAGAGTCAAGGTGTAAGAAATCCTAAATTTTAAGATGAAAGAATGGTTCCCAGGACAAGACTTGATTTATAAACTAAAAGAGGAGTTGCAACCAGAAGAGGGATTATTCAGCCAGAACTCAGCCATATTCCCAGAACTTGGGAAAATGAAACCCACAGAGGCAAACACCACCAACTCTGGGAACTCTGGGAAGACAATAATGGCCTGGCCCAAAGCCTCCACATCTACAACATGGGTGGTAGCGTGTCTCTGTGATACACAGACGCATATTCTAATCATGTAGCTAATTCTATTTTGAATTTATGCCCAGCAACTAACTTTCCACTTACAATGTAGCTTGCCATGTAGTTTGCTTACAGAGAGAGAATGTTTGCTGGATTCAAGTAGCTGTTCTGTGGGATTCCTGTTGTTTTCTTTTAACAACTTTATTGAGGTGTAATTTACATACCATGTAATTCACTCAGTTTAAGTGTACAATTAAATAATTTTTAGCAAATTTACTGCGTTATGCCATCATCACCATAATACAGATTTAGACCATCCCCCAGCAAGATGACCTTTAACATTTAGTCTCCCTTTCCACACACAGCTGTAGGCAACCACAATTCTCTCTCTATAAATTTGTCTTTTCTGTCCTCTCTGGGTTTTTAAAAAAACAATTTTATTTACCCATCCATTTCTGTGTCTGTGGCTAATGTAAATTCATTCCAGAGATAGGTATGTTTTTAGTGTCCCAACAAGTACCTGTCTCAGGGTGCTAGGTTGTCCTGAAATCCCCAGTGTCAATGCCCTCCATCCAAAGGCCATCAGGAACACACCAGTGGTTGGGTTCATTACTAGTCAGATTTATTATTCAATGCAGGGAGGGAGGATGCACATCATGGAGAACCATGGGACATCTCAGTAGGAGAATATTAGAAAGGGACTCCTTGTAGGACAGGAGCTCGTGTTGGGTGACTTGGAGGAGTGTTTACAGAAGTGGAGCTTTGCTCTGGATTGGATGTTGCCACGAAGCAGGGGTAATTCTTAAGGCTGGATATCTTAATGAGCCCTATCTAGAAGGTTAGCAGGCTAGACTGAGGCTAAAGCTGTAATTGGTAAAGAAACAGCAGTCACTATTCTTAGCCAGAGTACAGGGAATGTTTGGTCATTTTGTGGTTTGGCTAATGTTTAGGTTTTATCTGTTCTTTAGACATAATTACAGAGGGGTTGTGTTTTGTCTTGATGATATTCAAAGTGGCCTTGTCTGATGTTCATGTTCTGTGAAATTGTTTATACTCAAGGCCTAGCTGTAAGTACCAGGCCAGATATTCATGTCAGGGGCTGCTGTTCTCACCAAAATAATGCCATCCACTTGTCTGGGTAACTAACTAGCTATTCACTCCTCTGTATCACTAGATATTCTAAAATGGTTCATCCTTCATCTTACAAGTGAACAACAATATTAGTACTTTATATGTATTTGCCTTCTTTCAGGAACCTGCATCTTTCGAATACAGTTTAGCAATGTTTGCTGTGCATAAAACCAACAAAGCGTTCCTATCCACAATACAAGAATTCTTATAAATCAGTTTTTCAAAGACATCTAAGTAGAAAAATGGGCAAGAGAAAGAATGTCTTAAGAGTAGTCAGTGCTCAACAAAAATGAAAACATGTTTGATCTCATTACTTATGAGAAAACAGCAAAGTAAAACTTCAGTGAGATACAGCTACAGAGCACAAGAGCTAAAATTTAAAGACTGACAACATCAAATGTTGACAAGGATGTGGTACAACTGGAAGGCACATACACTGTCAGAGAGAGTGTAAATTGGTGGGAAATTGTTTGATACACGTACTCTATTGCCCAGAAATTTCACTTCTAGACCTAACTGCCTACTTACATTCACCAAAAGACATGTTTGCTCTAATGTTTATCTACAGTGTTATGGATAGATATAATATAGTTCTACCTTAGAGTATTACACAGTGATGAAAGCAAATTACTATTAAAAATAGTAACATGTGGGGCGCCTGGATGGCTCAGTTATTAAGCGTCTGCCTTTGGCTTAGTCCTGATCCCAGAGTCCTGGGATCAAGCACCACATCGGGCTCACTGCTCTGTGACAAGCCTGCTTCTCCTTCTTCCACTACCCCTGCTTTTGTTCCCTCTCTCACTGTCTCTCTCTCTGTCAAATAAATAAATAAAATCTTTTAAAAAATAAAAAATAAATAAAAACAGTAACGTATTCATCTCATGAACATATTAAGTGAAACAGAGAATGAGAACAATTGCAGGATTCCATTTATATAAAGTTCAAAAATAGGCACAAGTAATCTATAATGTTAGAGATCAGTATAGTGGTTACCTTTTAAGAGCTTTAAAGAGGTAGAGAGTAGTAGGGCATGTAGTGAGGACTCCTCCAACACTGATAATGTTCTGTATCTTTAATCCATGTGGTAGTTACCTGGATGCAGTGACTTTGTAATAATTCAGACAGCTGTACACCTGTGATCTGTGTACTTTTTTGTATGTATTTTGTGCTTCCAAAAAAGTTAATTAAAATATATGTCATTGTGAAAAAGTTGGTAATCATTGAAGTTGGGCATTGGACCCAGGAGGGTGAGTATACCATCCATTTTCTCCACTTTTATGCATTTGAAGTTTTCCACAATAAAGGGTTTAAATATATATATATATATATACACACACACACACACACATATTTGCATATATGTATATGTATATGTGTACATATATATTTATGTATGTGTATTTTTGTATGTATATTTATTTATAAATGTTTGAGTTATACCTGGACTAGCCAATCTATTCAAAAGTGAACGTGATTTCCTAGAGACCCCAGCAAAATGAATAGAGCCATGTGATTCCTTTATAATATGCTGACTTGGAAATTAGCACATAAAGAGAAAATTCATGTGCTTAGGTGGTATTAGCCAACAAAAGCAATGTACCTAATATGTAAAAGAACAATCTGAGTGAACCTTTATATATGTGTGTGTGTGTATATATATATATATATATATATATATGTGTGTGTTATATGTATATATATTCATAGAAATACATTGAATATTATATGTATGCTATAGCAATAGAAATATATGGAAGAAAATGCAGACGATAGGACAGAACCTTTTTTTTTTTTAAAGATTTTATTTATTTGACAGCAATGACAAGCAGGCAGGGAGGCAGGCAGAGAGAGGGGGGAAGCAGGCTCCCTGCTGAGCAGAGAGCCCCATGCAGGGCTCGATCCCCCTGGGATCACAACCTGAGCTGAAGGCAGAGGCTTTAACCCACTGAGCCACCCAGGTGCCCCGACAGAACCTTTTATTACGAGCCAAATCCTATTCAAAATGAACTTAGGCTAGGATTACACATTTTTTATTTCTTGGCAATGTTTCAAATATGCTAGAAATACATGAGATTTGAATGTCATTCATGAATTGTTTCTGAAAAATGAATATATCTTTCCATATATTTTTGCTTTGGACTCCTGGCTAATGATTGGTTTGAAACTTCTGAATATCAGTAGATATATTTCACTAAAATAAAATGTTGGGCAAAGTTTTTAGAAAAACATCCATAAAAAGAAATAAAGACAAAGGGTGCCTAAAACAGCACATGATTGCGTCACAGGCATTGTAAGGCCCATCACCATGATTACCCTTAAGTAGCTGCTGAATGGGCCAAAATATACATGTTCCCCCAGAAGAAAAATATTTGAGTAATTTGGGGTCAGAATGTTTATTGAACATACAATTTGGACGAAGGGAGTTGGGGAGCATGGACCCAAGGGTGACTGTATAAAAATAATTCGATGGAGTCACCGCCTGGTCATGTTTTCCTTGAGAGCTAATTTTAGAACATAATGCTCATGTGAGATGAAATTCGCTACTATATCTGAATTACAACCACAAATAAATACTTGTTAAACATCTTAGAAACTGATATAAACCAGAAAAACCTTGTAGGCAAATAGGAACACTTGAACTTCCTCACCTTTTTCCTCTCATACCTATTTACACGGAGTGAAGTGGTTTGAATGACCAGATATCTGCCTAGGGACTTTCCTACAGTTCTGAGAGGATCTTAACTTCACTGAGCAAAAGAATTACCTTATAAGGGGCGTGCCTGGGTGGCTGAGTCAGTTAAGTCCAACTCTTGGTTTAGGCTCAGGTCGTGATCTCAGAGTCGTGAGATGGAGCCGGGTGTTGGGCTCCCAAGCTCACTGCTGAGATTCTCTCTCTCCCTCTGCCCCTCCCCCCAACTCTAAAAAAAAAGATAAATAAATGAATTATAATATAAGATGGAACACAGAACTTCATAGGGGCTGATCTTTGAAAGCTTCTTAAAGGACTTTATTTTATTTTATTATTATTATTTTTTAAAAGATTTTATTTATTTATTTGACAGAGAGAGAGACAGTGAGAGGGAACACAAGCAGGGGGAGTAGCAGAGGGAGAAGCAGGCTCCCTGCTGAGCAGAGAGCCCGATGCGGGGCTCGATCCCAGAACTCTGGGATCATGACCTGAGCCCAAGGCAGACGATGAACGACTGAGCCACCCAGGTGCCCTTTTATTTTATTTTTAAGATTTTATTTATTTATTTGAGAGACTGAGAGAGAGCACAGGCAGGGGGAGAGGGAGGGGTGGAGGGTGAAGCAGACTCCCCTGCTGAGAAGGAAGCCATCACAGGGCTCCATCCCAGGACCCTGGGATCATGACCTGAGCTGAAGGCAGATGCCTAACCTACTGAGCCACTCAGGTGTCCCTTTAAAGGACTTTTAAAGGCACTTTTGGCCTTTAAATGTTCAATTTTCACTGAATGTGCTGGGTTTGGAACCAGTCAATTCAGCCATACCACCCTGCAGTTGTGGTCTTGGCTGGGTTGCCAGATAAGATACAGGATACCCAGTTACATTTACATTTCAGATAAACAAAGAATAATATTTTCAAGCATAATTATTAAAAACTATTTGTTGTTTGTTTGTTTATTAAGTAGGTTTCACACCCAGCATATAGCCAGCCCAAGGTGGGGCTTGAACACACAACCCTGAGATCAAGACCTAAGGTCAAGAGTCAGACACTTAGGGGACACCTAGGTGGCTCAGTTGGTTAAGCATCTGCCTTCAGCTCAGGTCCTGCTCTCAGGATCCTGGGACAGAGTTCCACATGGGGCTCCTGCTCAGTGAGGAGTCTGCTTCTCCCTCCCTCTCTCTCCCTTTTTGCAAGTTCTCTCTCTTTTAAATAAATAAAATCTTAAAAAATAAAATAAAATCTTAAAGTAAATCTTTAAAAAAAATAAAGTAAAATCTTAAAAAAATCTTGAATAAAATCTTAAAAAATAAAATAAAATCTTAAAAAAAAAAGGTCAGATGCTTAACCGACTGAGCCACACAGGCACCCCTAGTGCCTTTGCAAAATCTGGCAACCCTTACACTAGTAGATCTTTCACTTACAAAGATTCACATGAGGCCTCAAGAGGGGCCCAACACCAAGGGGTGCCTGGGTGGCTCAGTGGGTTAAAGCCTCTGCCTTTGGCTCAGGTCATGATCCCAGGTCCTGGGATCGAGCCCCACATCGGGCTCTCTGCTCAGCAGGGAGCCTGCTTTCCCCTCTCTCTCTGCCTGCTTCTCTGCCTACTTGTGATCTCTGTCTGTCAAATAAATAAATCAAATCTAAAAAAAAAAAAAAAAAGAGGGGCCCGCACCATTGAGGAAGATTGAAATGAAATGCTGGGAGAAAACATTTGCAATAAAGAGTTATTATAGAATAATAAGAAAAAGATGAACCTCTAGTATATAAAAACGCACAAAGATCTTTAAAACAGAAACAAGGAAGGTGCTCAAAAATACACAAAGGGCACAAAGAGAATTCACATACACAAACACACACACAAATGTGCAAATGGCAAAAGGCACTTAAATAAATATTCAGCCCTATTTGTAATGAAATAATGACAATTTTAAAAAGATTAATTATTTTTAGAGAGAGAGCAGGATCAGGAAAGGGAGAGGGAGAGAAAAATCACAAACCAACCCCACGCTGAGCATGGAGTCTGCCATGGGGCTTGATCTCACCACCCCAAGATCAGGACCCAAGCAGAAACCAAGGGTCAGACACTTAACTGACTGCACAACCCAGGGGCCCCAAGAAGGGTATATTTTTAAAAATCAATGAGATATTTTTTAAAAGCTACCTAGGAAGCACATTTAAAAAGCAACAATAGTACCCAGTGTTATTTCATACCCTGATGATTTGACTTAAATAGCCTTTCTGGAGGACAGTTTGGCATTACGTATTTTTTTTAAAGCCTTGCAAATGTGGATAATCTGAAAAAACAATTCCACTTCTCAGGATCCGGTCCTAGGAAAATATTTAGAATGTGTGAAAAGATTTATCTCCAAGGATGTTTTTAACAGTAAAAAATAGAAAACAACATCAGTGTTCAACAGTTGAGTTTGTTAAATATATTATGATTCTATATCCACACAAGGGAGGAGTCAGCAGCCGTTAGAATTATGCTAAGAACTAATCACATGGAAAAATGTCTAAGATACATTGCTAAATGAAAGAGATACATTATAAAATAACATGCATTTTCTAATTTCAGTTTTGTTTTTAAACATGTATACCCATTGTTACAAGAATGCAAAGATAAACTACGAGTGGGAAGAAAGTATTTGTAAATTGTCTGGCTAACAAAGGACTTGATTTCAATATATAAAGAACTCTCAAAACTCAACAGTAAGAAAAAAATTTTTTTAAATGGTGAAAGATGTGAACAGACACTTTATCTAAGAGGATATGCAGACAGCAAATGAAGACGGTATGTTTAACATCATCAGTCAATAAGACAACGCAAGTTGAAGCCATGCTGAGATACCACTATGTCCCATTAGGGTGTCTAAGATTGAATGCAGCGACAATAACAAATGCTGGCAAGGATATAGGGCACCTGGCAGGCTCAGGTACTGCTGTTGAGAATGTAACAAGGTACAATGTAACAAACTAGAGAACAGTTCGGCAGTTTCTTACAAAGTAAAGGTACAGTTATCATTAAGACCCAGTAACTTTGCTCCTAGGCATTTAAACTCTAGAAAAATGAAAGCTTGGGTTCACATAAACATTTGTGTACAAATATTTATAGCAGCTCCACTCACAATGACCAGGGTGGGAGACAGCCCAAGTGCCTTTTCACCTGTAAAGGTATAAACAAACCATGATACATTTGTACAGTATTGTGGAATATTCCACAATAAAAAGTAATGAACTATTGATACACACCGCGCCTTGGATGAATTTCATACACACTGATGGAAAAAAGTCAATTTCAATGGATTACACACTCTCTGATTCTGTTTATATGACG